GGTATTCCTTGCCGTCGGCAACGACCTTGTCGACGTGGCCGTGGGCTGCCACAAGGGGCGCGAGAAGGAGGAGGAAAGAGAGCATGTTGATGGTATTCAAAGTGAATGACTTGTAGAAAGCGATTGTTGAAGCTGTGTAGTGATGGGCTTGCTGTCGAGAGTGACCTTCAACCTGGGACTTAACGCCCCTTCATATACTCCTCTGAAGTCTTCTAGCGGCCTTCTACTGACGCCCACGTTTTCCCACGACCAGGTATTGGCGAAGCCTTGCAATCAAAAAATTCATCTCCATGCACGAGTCGACCTGGTTCCTGAGTTGAGCGCCATCCGCTCGTAGAAACACGCCCTGGTCGTCGAGCTCTTGGATCATTGGAAGCCCAGCGATGTTTCCAGTCTGGTGACGGCGTGAAACCACTGCGATAGGCTAGGAGAATCTCAATGACTCCAGTATTAATATATGAGACGCAGTGCTGTCCTTGAAGTGGTGATGAGCAATCTATCCTCGGCTGCGGCCACTGCCGCCGTCCAGGTGGTCACCAACCACGTGCGAGTTTCAGCCACTACGTTGTGGTACTTTGTTTACTTAAACTCTGGGCGATGTGGACCTCTCGGTGTATTGGCGACTCAACGAAGGATATTGTTGTTGTTGTTTTATCAAGCTGCATACTCAGGTGCTCAACAGCCAGGAGGAATGATACCATGCCTAACATTGCGCTGATGGCGCAACTCAGCAGCTCACGGGAACCAGCACGGATCTACGGCAGTCGTCATGTAAGCCCTACGGCTACCGAAATGCAGTGTAACTAATACCCCGTGGGGTCTTGGACATACTTGCAGTGTTGCTGCAAGTGCTGCTGCATCCGAGTCGATTATATCCGGTGGCGTAAAACCCCAGGGCGTTTAATGTATATAGATTAATCACGGACCGCGAACCCGAACGTCAACCCACTTTGTGGCGATGCAACTCTTGCACAAGGCTGGTAATGCGTGCATCTCTGAAACGTCTCAGGTCACACGAAGTGCGACTCATTTAGAGAGGCATTCCATCTACTCCTACCACGATGCAGCCTCGATTCTTTAAGCACTGAGTTGCCCAACGTTGCCGTCCCCTGATGTCTTTTCGAAGAGTGGATTTGCTGATTGCTGATTGCTGATTCCTGGATGTCCTGCTCTGGATTCTTGGAGGGCCAGTTCGTGTAAATGTCCATTACCAATTCCAGGTCCAGAATCTCGTCGCTCGGTGTGTGTCCGGCCATAACAGATTAACCTGGAGACTCAACAGAAAGAAGGTAACATCGACTATCTCTCTAGATGAGAGAACCCATTAAAATTCTCTTGCTGCGACAGGTAGGATGGACGTCGCCTGCGCAACTGGCGCTTGGGGGACTTGGGACCGTTGCGTCCGTCGCGCGACGACCACGTCCGCCCTTGCTGGAGCGCATACCTGGATACCCTCATGTGTTGCTACTGGAGGATGCGCATCTGCGTCAAAGATGATCACGCGGCGAATGTAAGCCTTGGCCTCAGTGTGTCGCAACCATGGTAATCAGTAAAATCTCATCTCAACAACCAGAGTGTCAAAGAGGAGGACCAGAGGAAGGACGTCGAAGGTGTAAGAAGCTTGGGCTCAAGGGATCGTCAGGGCGAGCGCGAGGGACGGTGCGACGTCATCGCTGTTGTGCTAAATTTGTCGCTCTGACGTGCCTCACGATCGGCGAACGATGCGCATCGTGCAGGAACAAATTTTGCGTCACTGAGTGTCGCATCTTCATATAACAAAGCTGATGCTCTCGCTGTTGGCCTGAGGAGGTGGGGAATCTGACGCTCGGCATGCCTGGAAGGTGCGGATGACGCGTCACCAAGGCTAAGTAAGACCGTACCACCACAGGCGTCCCCAGCGAACATTCACATTCACAGCCCCAAAAGACAGAAATATTCACATCAAAATTGCGCCCAGAGGCAGAAGAAAAAGGAGGACATATCGCAGTATACAAAGCTAAGGAAACCAGAGGCTCCAAGAGTCGGGCCAAGTTCAGGTCCGAAACCTTCTGGTCAACATAGCCTCCCCGGGCAGCCCGGAAACCACACTTCCACGCGTGTCTACGCAGCAGACGAAGCTGGGGTGTTACGCGTTTCCGAGTGCCAACTGGTCTTAGACGTGGTCGATTAGGTGGGGTAACGCAGCTTTACTGGCTGCCCAGGCACGTGAATATGTGACGCAGCCAATAGCATGGTGAAAGGGTCGCATCCTCCTAGCAACCGATTGGGTCTTTGGTTCGCATCAGATGCACGATCTGGAAGACCTTGCGGTTCCCGAAGCGATAGCTGTAACGGTATATAGGTAAGTGATCGTGGCACACAGGGTCTCGCAACTCGGTGCCAGTGGGACGTTGCCGCATCACACCATACTATTTCGTCGTCGTCAGCGCAACGCTGACCATCCCCTCGGTCTTTTTCTTGTCACTCCTGCAGCTTCCGGAACCTCCGCGCATTAGACTCACTCTCTGCCTTACCTTTGTTGATCGTGAGCGTGTCACCACAGCAAACACTACTCCATCCCTATATCACTCGCTCCCGTCGCACACGATTCTGTACCACAGCATATACCCCTTCATCCGCAGTCACAATGTATCTTCAAAAAAGAAACGGCAACATGGGCTTCGACATCGCCCCAGCCCTCATCATATTTCTCGTTATCCTCGGAGCAGGCGCGCTCGTCTGCTGCGGTTTCGCTGTCTACCGGTTCTATGGCGGAGAACCTGAAGATGACTCAAGACGTTTCCACAGGAGCCCAGAGCAAGACTCCTATATGAGAGAAGTGCGGGAACGAAGTTGGCGCAAGCTACCCCAGCTGGGTATGCCACGGCCCTACTATCAGTCCAACCTGGGTCACGCACCGATGAGTCCAAGGTAAGATGACGTGGATTCACCTATGAACATAGCCTCAAGCTGACTTAAACAAGCGGTAGCAACACTACATACGGATGAGAAACCGAGCACCCTCCAGCCTCGTCGAGGTGGATGCCGAAAAAGACTGCAACACATGCGGCCTGAGAGGGCGTGAGGCCCTACAACAGGACAACCAGCGACGCGACACTACGAAACGACCGAGAGGCACTACTTTTGCAATTGTATTGGATTAGACCTCATAAGAGATGTTCGGAATTTTGTTTGGGTGATAAGAAGCGTTCGACGGATCAACCACCACCCCGGCCTGACGGACTTCACTCGTCGAAGCCTTCCTGCTTCAGATACTTCACGATCCAGGAAAGGTGGCTGCGAAGCCACAAATCGACAGGGGAAAATATGTACCTCACGATCAGAATGCTGTCAACATCCGGGGAAGCGGGTGGTCCGAGACGGACAGATAGTCCTGGGGCGGGGTTCCGGGACATGGTTTCCATAAGGGTAGATTGGAGTTTCCAAGGGTTTCATGCCTATTGACTGATATAGTGTTCCGAACAATGCAATGCAAGTTCTTCACTCTATCACACATGCGGTCGTTGCCATGAGCGTGAACTGGTACCAAACCGCAACACCCTGGTGACTTTGACAGACGACATCGCAAGACGTGCAAGGGGTATCCGTGCTTTGTTACCATGTTTCCCGAGCATGGACACGACTCAGATGTCAGCGCGAAAGACAGATTGGGTCACTGGAGCCTGTTCGGACGACGATGTTTCCGTTTTCCGAATGGCCGAGGGATGCCCAAGAATCTGGGTACAGCCACAGTTGCGCCTTGTAGTCGTTTAGTGATATGCGCAGGGTCCGAAAGTTAATCGTACGCTGGGTTGAGTCTGGACTGTATTACTTATGAGCCGTTCCGTGCCTGGGGCAGCGATGAGCTATCAGCTGTTTGACCACAGGCCGCAAGGTTCCGCTGTACGGATGAACTCACCAAAGGACGAAGATGATGATTACTCTACATTTGAAGTGGGGCATTCTCCATACAGGTACACTGGAACTAGAATCTATGGGCTAACGCCTGAACCATGCTAGTCGATTAGACGTTTAGTTGAAGAACGGTACTCTTCTGGACTGCTCATCAAAGAAGAATTTCTTGCAGCGGTACCACAATGACAGAGGCTTCGTATGGCATCAAGTTCTTTAGTCTCTACAATGCGACCGGTATCGCGCATGCCGGTTGAGGCTGTCAGCTTACTATTGCGCCTCGATATGAGCAAGACTTGGGCAGAGACATGCTATCGTGATCTGAAGAAGGCGGGAGGTGTAGAGGGTGCGCTGTACTTTGGTTTGTATCTATCGACATTCATCATGTCCCATTCTAGATATCAAATAAAGTTCATGTAAGTGTCGAGTTCCAGGCGGAGACCGTGATGGAGGAAATATGGGGAAGCGCGAGGTTTACGAGGCTAGTAGTAGAGCGTTGAAAGCTCAGCGTTCTTTCGGTCCACTTCCTTGGGGTAGGCGCGCTAGCCTGTTGTGGCCCATAGGCACAGAGCGCTCTCACTCAACCTTGGGAGGCTTCCTGTGCCCAGGTGTCTACGCTGTCAAAAGAAACTCAGTATCCATTTCCAAATCCTACAAAAAGTTTATTCGAGCACCGTTTTTCTGTCAAACCCAGTTATGTGTTGCGAAATTAGTTGTCTTCGTTGCAGCCCTGGAATTGTTGGTGCGCCAGCCACCCCGCAGATCGTCAAACCTCCATGCACCCCAGCTATGACATCGCAAATTGCCGGCACTTCTGGCGTTGGAGTCTGTTGACAAACACCGTAAAGCATTGCAGTCTGCTTCGTGAGCTGCCGTACTACCTTCTCCTTCTGAATACCTCCAATTTCCAGTCCGCTGACCGTTCGGCCCGGCTCACGAGCTAAATGACGTCGCCGTGCTTTCGACCTCGTGGGTCCATCGAATAGCTTCAGTGAATGTTGCATCCGTTGCCAAGCCGTCGATGCTCACCAGATCCATAAGCGGGGTACCTCCAATTCGGAGGAACAGGCAGCGAATGGAGCAAAGACAGTCGGTGACCATGACGATCCATGTGTGCCGTCATAGCCCCGAACATATACTCTAGAGCGGTCCTCGCTGTCCATTGTCTTCGGTACCTCTCTCTGGCTCCTCAAGACTGCCTTAATACCATCTGACAAGATGCGCAACCTCATGGTACTCGGCGCGCTCTCCAATATACCGTTGCTCATCTCAGCGCAATGTCCAGAATACGTGGACTACGCGTTGGAGGTTCATGAACCTCTGAGTTCCGGCAAAAACCAGCTCGCCTACCAACGGCCGTCCGAAGAATGTCGAACTTTCAAATCGCAAGGCCTGGAGGATACTGTTGCGCGCATGGAAAATGTAATCAAGGATCCGGACCTGTACCGCCTCTTCCAGAACGCCTATCCCAACACGCTCGACACGGCCATCAAATGGAAGGGCTACGCTGCCAACAACACAGAGGAGGAGCTGACGTTCATCATCACTGGAGACATTAACGCGATGTGGCTACGCGACTCGTCGAATCAATTACAAAGTTACCTGCCGCTGTTGAACGCCAGCAGCGATCCCAACTCAATCGCGAGCTTGTACCGGGGAGTCATCAACCTTCAGGCACGATACCTACTTGCAGCGCCGTATTGCAACTCTTTCCAACCGCCTCCCGAGAGCGGTGTTCCTCCGGCAGAGAACGACTCTGCGAATGAAGATATCGTCTTTCCCAAGATTGACAATAGCACAGTATTCGAATGCAAGTATGAGCTCGACTCGCTTGCAGCGTTTCTACAAATATCTGCCGACTACTATGAGGCAACTGGCGATGCCGCTTTCTTTGGCAAGTTCCAGTGGGTCAAAGCTGTCGAAGCGGTACTGGATGTGGCCGAGGACATGATGCTTCCTACCTATGGTGCAGACGGAGCAGTCCTGCAGAGTCCATATACATGGGAGCGAACCACCACCCGAGCGACCGAAACTCTTGCAAACGACGGAATCGGCAATCCTGTTGCCAACGGCACTGGCTTGATCCGGAGCGCGTTCCGACCGAGCGACGATGCCACTATTTACCAGCTCTACATCCCAGCCAACATGATGTTTAGCTCGTACCTTACTCCAACGGCCGAAATTATGGGCAAACTTAATAACACAAACTCTGCAGCACTTTCGAAGAGAATGTCTGGGCTCTCAGAGTCGGTGCGCAACGCTATCGAGACCCACGGAACAGTCGACCACGCGGTATATGGTAAGGTCTACGCATTCGAGGTTGATGGCTTCGGCGGGCGCAACATCATGGACGACGCCAACATCCCGGGTCTCCTCTCAGCCCCATTCTTCAAGTACCCGGTTAACGAGGAGACGTATGCGAATACGCGCGACCTCGTGCTCAGCTCCATGAACCCTTACTTTATGAGAGGTCCCGTGATCAACGCCATTGGTGGACCGCACCAGGGACCGGGCATGGCCTGGCCGATGGCTTCTATTGTTCGCATCTTCACGAGCGATGACGAGAGCGAGATCGTGAACGAGCTAGCCCAGATTGTTAGCAGTACAGATGGCTTGGGGTTGATCCACGAGAGTATCAACAGCTTCAACGAGAGTGACTGGACGAGGCAGTGGTTCTCGTGGGCGAATGGGCTTTTTGGACAGATGATTCTGGACCTGGAGGAGCGCAAGCCAGAGATTCTCGAAACCAGTTTTCAGTAGGCTTGGAGGAGGGTTAGACGGAAGGACTAGACGCTGGTCATTCACGCACCATGCATGCGCTGGGGAGTGCGAAGCTTTGAAAGCCTGTCAAATATCTCACATGCAATGCTAGTCATCACTGTCGTATCACGATGCTGGTTCCTGCTCAAACTTTGCCCTGCATGCTGGCGGCGCCTGGACACGCCGCCTTCAGCCACCAACCCTTTGCGATGGAATAAGCAAGACCTTTTATGACTGCATAACCCTTCTTTGAAACTTGTATACGCTGCGGCAGAGAAAACAACATGCGCTCGCTTGCTGTATATCGCTAACTGATAGCTCATCCGCCGTCATCGCGGTGTAACCGATGCCGCTAGGAACCAGCCCCGGGGTTTCCAAGGCATGCAGCACCTCTCCGACGGTCGTGGTTGGCGATGGCCTCCACCTCTATCTGCAAGGCTGTGCCGCAACCGGCGCTAGGAGCTGTGTCGGAATTGTGACGCTCTCTGCGAAAACTTGGTTCGAAGAGTTCGGTGCCCAGTGGGTCGCACTAAAATCTGGTTTTGTCGCGATGGCAGGTGCTCAGGTGCTCAGGTGGTTCCCCCGCTCTCTCGCACACCGAGTACCTGTTGTAAGGTACGAAGAAGGATCTGGATGACGAACTCCCCTAGCAACGGCAAACCATGCAGCACCTGGTTATGCGCCATGCTCGAACGACTGCATGCACCAAGGAAGCTGAAGGAATCTAGCGCGGAAGCCCTCGTGGAAGATAGCAGGGCTGTGAGTGGGTCGCTTCATCTTCTCCGACGATCGTGTCAGGGGCCCGCGAATTAAGCGGCCGTGTGGCGGTCGCAGCAGTAACCGCGCGCTCAATCGAGTCGTGTCTGGCATGCCGTTGGCTGCTTACGACAGGGGAACTGGAGCTGCCGTGCGATCTGCTTCCTGCTCCCGAAAACGAGATGCCGATATCCAGAACCCACGATGTCAAGATCCGGTCCCTTTACGAAACTGCAGCGCGGCATGATGCTGGTCAACCGGTCTTGTCAAGTGAGGAGAACAGCAACTAGCGGTTCGGTCCCTTACTTTGCAACGGTCCCCAGCTCCCTCCAAATCTTCGCAGATGGACTGGACGGCTGAGGAAATGAAGGAGCTGAAGTGTCTCCTCTTCGGCCAGCGTTGGCGGCCAATGAAGCCCATGACATAAGCCCAATAATGCGCCTCGCATTTGGCGTGTTTGGGATCAACTCTTCAGCTGCATCTCCGATTCTTCCCTCACGATTACTCTTTCCCTATCACAGCAAGAAAGCGCCAGTGGCTGTCATCCGCTTGGTTCCTGCCCGACTAGTACCGAACTACATCTTTGACTTACGACCCATCTTTTTGGCTCTTCTCTTCTCATACGCCAAATTACACAGCATTCACTCGCTTTTGGACCCCTCCTGATACCGTGTTTCACCTAAACGACATTTCAGCGATTTGAACGTCTATGCTAAGCGCTGAGGCTGCATCCTCCACGCTACACACCAACACCATCCACAGGCGCCAATCCGACCAATCTTGAACCACCGCGACTGAGGCTCTGTCCCCACACTCCAACATTTACTGTCTGCCGGTGACGAGCTGCACAAAACAACCGGCCTCTGTTTGCTTCACAAATTCTCCGGGTTGATCTGATTCCTCGGACTGCGACGTCCCTAGTCAACCTCGCCATAATCATACATACGCGCAGTAGGCCAGTTTCAGCATTTTCTCCAAACGCTTGCTATTGCGCACCAATCATTCACCTGCTGGCTGGACTTTTCGCCGACGCGACCATACAGAAGGAGCAGGCTAAAACATCCAACTCACCGACCTGCATGCACTTCTATAATTGACACCCACGATTCTATGCGACACATCAGAGGTGGCCAGGGCTTAGACGCATACGCGCTTCAACGCCGGTAGTCCTTGCTGTTATCAGCTTAGGTTAACCCGACATAATGGCCATGGACAACACTACGCTCCACACTTTTCTGTTGTATGTCTACCCCCTCTGTGCCTCACTCTAAGGCAGTCACTTATTCTTGCATCAAGTCACTGCCCGGCTGCACTGCGCAGTGTCGTCTTACTTGGATCTTGGGACAACTTTTCGCGACCCTATCCACTAGAACTCGACATACGCGGGGGCCGAAATACCTGGAAAGGCTGCTTTACCTTTTCTGATATCATTTGCGACGGAGATCTAGACCAGCAAACACCCAAACGGGACGGACTTCTCAAGATGGGTGGGACTTACTGGTACTACGTAAGTTGACTACACTGCAGGATGAAATTATTTACTGACAGTATACAGTACAAGGTCGATGAGGATGATGAATGCCACAATCCTTCGGAAGAGTCGACGACATTTTGTCCTCTTCTGCCAGGGCAGCGCCTTAATGTCTTGGATGTGCCCCGCGAAGGGGGACACAGCCGCAGCATCTCAGATACCTCTTCCGCTTTCACACGCGACCCCAAAGATAGGTATCTGACTCCAGTACCACCTGCGAGTCTAAGGCCTGGACTGCCTCCGAGATCAGGTAGCAGTAATGAGGCTTACACCTTGCCTCTACCTTCGCCTTGGACCCCAAAGTCGGCGACGCATCCACCCACAGAAGGCTTACTGTCTCCACATGTAATGCGCCATGCCCGAAGCGCATCAGCATCCCCCTACATGCCGTCTACTCCCATCTTCCCGGACTTCAAGGTTCTGAAAGAGAAGTTGGCATCGAAACGATCAGCTTCGAGAAATCGCAGCGGGTCAAAGACCAGAGAGCTAGACATCAGTGCGCCAGTGCTTGTCAGTGGAGGAGAGGAGCTCAACCTCATTCCGTTGTCTGTGTACCGACCCTCAATCGAGTCTATCAGAGAGGTGGAGATACCCACCACAACAACGTCGCGCGCAGTACCGAACATCCGAAGGGAGTTCTCTCCGCTGGCATCGCATCCTGTTGATCCCGTCCACGACTCATTGTTTGGACCTGCAGAGCTGCCCACTCCTGATGAGCGCCCTACCAGGCGTCGCCGCTCACACGTTCCCTCAACTGTGATCACGAGCGAGTTCAAGGTCGAGCAAAGTCGCCTTCGTGCCAACTCTAGCGACACAAGACGAACTCAGCATTACCTGTTCTCCAATGACCCTTGGCTTTCGTCTCCTAAGCTTCAAGAAGACTTCGAAGTAGAGGATCGCGTAGTGGAGGATGACACCCCATCTGCGCCCGTACTCTCACGCCCGTCGACCTTCCTCGGTGCTCCCATGTCGAACGGGCGACCTACCTCAAGCCATGGTGGCAACCAAAGCACAAATCTTCGACAGTCACCACTGGACAAAGAGCTTCCAGCCCTTCCTCGCTACCTAATACCCGCACCACTCTACGCATGCAACGAAGCCACAATCAGCGAATTACCAGCCAGCGAGCCAGAGAACGAGTTCGAAGAAGACGAAGACGACGAGCGTCTCGACAACTTCAGCGTGTCTTTCCAAGACAAAGCACGCAGCCACTTCTCCACCTGGAGCAACGACTCCATCGGCTACAACTCACCCATCTCGGACAACAACGACGACGCCGTCCTCTCCCCCACCTTCAGCTCCCTCACCAGCAACGACAGCGACATCGACACGCCCCAAGGCCTCCTAATCCACTACTCGTACGCCTCCCCCCGGCAAGCCACCTCCCCAAAACACACCTCCACGGTCCCTGAAATCCAAACCATCTCCACCGACACCACCGACAACGAAGAAGAAGAAGAGTCAGAAGAAGACGTGCAATCCCCCTACCGCCTCTCCACCCCACCCCAACTCAACGAACTCCGCATCTCAACCTTCGGCTCCGACCTCTTCAAAGTCGAGACGCACCACTCTGACGCGTCGTCACGGCGCTCGTCGAGGCGCCAAGCAGCTTGCTTTGGACTTGGCTTCCAGTATAGTCTGCCCGAGCATGATGTCGGGAGTAAGACTACGCTTGCGGAGTCGACGGTCGTGGCGGAGACGGAGCGCTTGCAGCGCACTATTAGTGTGCAGAGGGAGAGTTCGATGAGTGGTGTGCATGCGCTTATGGAGGATTTTGCTTTTCTCGGCGATGCTGTTATCTGAACATGAACCCCGTCTACGGCATCGATGCACAGCTTACCACGTCCGCGATATTTACTTTTCGCATATCTTCTCGCGACATGTCCGCCTTTTCCAGCTTCTTTTACGGTCGAATAGACCTCTGCGTCTTCGCCTTTCCAGATACGCTTTTTTCCATGTACAGCATTCGGCTTTTGTTATTCTTTTCCCACTTTTTCAGATACCATCGACGCGATTATCTAGCGACTTAGCAGCGCATTGCAGGGGAGGCTTACTTGAATCAATGATATACCATGCACACGTACACCTACATTTGTGCGAGGTTGGAGGAGATATGGAGATAGTATGAACAGATAGATACAGAATGATGTTTTGAGAGAGTAGATAGTAGCATCGTAAGGTGTTGAGAATGAGATAAGATATCCAACAACCACATTTATTCCTTGTATCTGTCACGGACTGCACACGAATTTCTCTCTAAGAGAAATGCTTCGATGTGCATGTACATTCAATGGTTCTACTCAAGGCGAGGCATCACGTCGAGTACAGTGATCAGTGTAAAGTTTCTCATTCCACTCGGTCTATCTGAACAGTCCTCTCAAGACACGAGAGCTATTGATGAGATATTCCGACTAGCTCTTCGGTCTTCCAAATCTACCACCTTTCGCATATAAAAGTAAGGTCTATGAGATGGTATAGTTCTCAGCAACAGACTTGACGTCCTTGGAGAAGTTGATCTCCTGGCCCATGGAAAGGAGGGTTACAGAGGAAACCTATTGCCCTTGTTAGCTTGGAATTCGTAGTGTATAGAGAAAGACAACTTACATCGACGTCCACGAATGGTGTGGCCTTGCTGAACCGGACGTTCATTGGGAAGAACTCAGAATCGCTGCCAGCCTGGGCTTCGAATTCGAAGCTACCGGAGCTGTTCGCA